GGCCAAGCTATTTAGGAACATACTTCGATCCCGAGAGGTGAACTGCTGAGCACCTACCGACTTCCTGCGAGTAAATCCACTCTGTATCTTGTGGGCTTAGGTCCTGTTTCCCATGCAACACCAAGTTATTGTGCTTCTTTTTAAAACTAAGTTCTCGTTTTTAATCAGTATGAATGAAGCTTTTTTACAAACTCTTCAAATTTTAAGATTAAACTTAAAAAAATTCAGTTAGCTAGATTAAAACCAGAATGCAGACCACTCTTCGCAGCTGATACACAGGCAGACCACTTGCTGATCTGCCAAAGCCCAGTCCCACAAACGTTTGTACACAAGAGCAAAGATACGCGTGTGAGTGTTAGCGGGATTAATGCTCCAAGGTACGTGTGAGTTGTATAGAAGTATGCTCAGTGTTAGGAGAGCCACCTGTGCTGATAATATTTATGTTTTCACTTACTTGTGATAATCTTAGTGCTTCCCCTTATGACATCTGACACCCTGTGGTGGTGGTTGACTGTGCAGAGCTCAGAGACAGCTAAAGACAACTTGGGATTGTCACGTGCTACCCGGTGAAGGCTCTAAAGACAGGACTCCAGTGCTTTGGAGGACGACTTGCATCAAAAGAGTGGAGCTGCAGAACTATTGGAAGCCATGGATGCCAAGCTATCTGCCACCAAGGCAAATGGAGCTGCAACACACCGCATACCTTATTGAAGTCCAGAAAAAACCAGAAAGAGCAGGGAGACATTTATGTCTGACACATGAAGAAAAGCCTCTGTGTTCATACAGCACTGGAAGAATTGTTTAGGCTGAGGACAGCCCCAGGTCTGGACGGGGGGAGCAGAGCCATACGTTGATGCCCACACCCCACTTCCAGGTCGAGTGCTGAGGGTCAGGCACAGGGGTGCCTCCCCCCTCCCCACCAGCCCCAGCACATCTGCACGGAGCTTGAACATCGCTTACAGGAATACAGCGGTTATACCTGGAAATGCTGCCGTGGTTAGAAATCCCCATTAGATCACCGGCCTTGTAAACGACCAGAGCAACCTCTGAAAGACCGCTAGATCCTTTTCTGAAGTTTCTAATGCTTGGAGTTCAGCTCTGGTGTGTGTTTAGCCTCTGCTTATTCTAGACAACAAGAACGTGTCATTCGGGAGCTGAAAGGACAGCTTACAATTCTTGTGCACATATAGCCAGCTCTCCACCTTTCTCCACAACTCCTGTAGGTCTCAGGCAGCCGTCATTCTTTTTTTTGCCAGTTTACTCACCACAAGTGGTTTTATGTGCACCCTTGCATGTCACTGGCTGGAAAAGCCTCCACAAAAGCCCCTGAAGTTGACCCAGCATCTGGGATCACAATTTGCACCAATCCTCCAAAGATCAACTGATCTGTTCATTATATGCATTTTTAAATTAAATTTTTACTTTTTTTTCAAATCTTTTTAAAAAAATAATAGATTTTAACCCAACTGCAGTTCAAGGATGGATTCAGTGGGAACTGACTGCAAGAAGAGTTAATTCCTGGGTCTCCACCCAACGCGTCTAGCGAATGGTTCAGAAGATTGTTCAAGAGACAGTTTGAGTAGCTCATGCCAATGAGTACATTTTATTTAAACTTCCTTCAAAAGGTCTTTTCTGATCTCACTGCTGAAAACATACCAGTTCACTCTTCCAGACACTGTCTGATTTTCCTAGCCATCTAGAGAAAGTAATGACTGCAGATTAGGGTTTTCCACACCCTTTCGGTTATACAGAAGAGCGAAGCCCTTGACATTACCATCAGCCTACTGACTAACTATCTATTTTTGCTAGGAAAGAAGTGTTTTGCTTGTTCTGGTCATTAGCCAAAGTGGGCTCTGTGTCTCACATGGTGTGATGCATTGCTGCCAGTTCTGTTCTTTCCGTACCATATATTTGGTACCATATCTCCTGCTTTGCTAACTTTCTTTGTCCTCCTGATCCAGAAGTGCTGTTCCCACCTAGGAAGTATTTTGTGATGCTACAGTCACCATCACCTACAGCTTAAAGTAAATACGAGAGAGTCTCAGTATTGTGATGATATCAAAGCCTGACCTTCTTCTAACACTAAGATCCTGAATTTTTTACTACTAAATTTTCAGAGGGAAAGTAAGGCACAGGTCTAAGATGGCTGTCAGATGAACGTAAGAAGTGTAGGCTGAAAAGTAAACAAGAGAGAAGATAAAGGAGGACCGTACCAGGTCATTTCCCAAATTGTTCATCTTTGGGAATCCAGAAGTGATGAGGCTGTGCCTTTCAACCTACCCATATTTTGAGATTAGACTGAATGTGGAGCAGCACTTCCCTGGTCAGCCTGCTCTAGAGCATCGGGAGCAGCTCAGAGGAAACGAACTGTTGCCTGCAAGGAGCAGCTGTCTGAGCATACCTTGTTAAAGCTGTGTTTCCCTCTGAGATCCTCCAGGCATTTCAACTGTGTGCTGAAATCAGAAGTAGAGCAGAAGCATTTGTTATTTAAAAGTGGCAGGAAAACACATGTTCTCATGTTCTCCCATTTGGTTACAAAACCCCTATTACACTGTTTTGGTGTCTAAAGCACTGTTACAGAAGAGGTTCAAAATGAACTCAGCCTACCCCTACCCTGTCTGCTGACATTTCTGTGAGCCAGACAAGGGTAATGAAGCTTAAAAAAGTGAATCATTTATGGAAAACAGGGATAGTTTGATGCAGACGTGACAAACCTGTGCCACTTTATCAATACTGCACAAGTGCCAAGGTACTTCCTACCTGGATCAATTCCTCCAGACACTTGCTTTGTTTACCTTGTAATCTGATAACTTTTAGTTTTTAAAAAGCTGCTAAACTTTTCCCCCCGAGAAGACAAGCTTATAAAGCAACTTAATATGTGTAATATATTTTATGATCAAGCTTGATATTGGATTCTGATTCTGCTTGTGCTAGTTTTTATGCTCTCTGCGTTGCATTTTTCTCCCCTCTAAGAAGCAAAAGAGCTGCCTAGGCTTTACAATGTTGAGTGTGTCAGACTAAAATGATCTCCCAGTGTTTTTTAGTCTAGATCTTGAAAACAACCTATGCTAGATCAGAAATGATCCAACCAAAGGAAAAACAGAACCAGATGCAAATTTCAACTCAAAATATTCTTCTGATGCTGTCCCATTTGCTGCTTCATGAAACAGAAATCTGGTGTAATGCATTGCTCCCTTCTGAGCGGAGAAACTGGGACTTATTGTACCTTCCCCTGTTATCAGTGCATTTTTTGTAGTGTTGTTCTTAAAATAGCGAGGATATTGTTGAGTATAAACTGGAGGAGGAACTAGAAAGGTGCCCTGGCTGGTCCTGGTGGATTCACTCTGGAATGGGACCCCACTTCCACCTGCCCCCTCTGGTCTCCCCACGCGGAGCACAACTCCAAATACACCTAAATCCCACGATTTCTATCCCATGTTCAGATTTTTCATAAAAAGCCACTAGTTCTAGAAAGCCTCATCTGCAAAGTCCACAGTCGTAACAATTCAACATTTTATGATTTTTCTTTTTTTAAATAAGGGAAAACAAGAAATCCTTTGAGGAAATCTGATACTTGACTACAAGTTCCTCAATAAACACAGTGCATAGAGGTATCAGTGGGAATATGGCCTATGCTAATAAAAGGGCACGAAGTTGCCTATTAACAGATCTTGATTATGTCATCTTGTTTTCCATTTTACTTCCTTGCCATAAGGAAGTGAATATTTTTCATTCAAAGAACCATTTAGTGACAAATACAGAAATCTAGATCATATATGTGAAAAGGATGTAGCCGAGAACGAAGTGCTTGTAAGATTTCTTTCCCAAGTGATTATTTTTTTGTGAAATCCAATAAACAGCAGAAATGTGCTTGTTTCATGTATAATAAACCATTGCCAGCAGTTGAGGTCTGCCAGAACTTAACTGGCGGGTGTTTGGAGAAGGGAAGCTGATCTTCCCATCTGCCCACTCCTAATTAAGAGCCTGATTCTGAGCCTATTGATGCAAGGGTACATTTTGTCATTGGAGAAATAAGAGTAGGAGTAAGTTCTTAGTTTGGGAGATCCAAGAATTTTTGAAGGGCTGTTTGATATACATGGGCAACCTCTGCAAACCTCCTTACGTTTGGAAGGAGAAGCAGAACTGGTTCCAAAAGTCTCGCAGATCCCGTAGGATCCACACTTGGGAAATCCACACACCAGAATGCAAGAAAGCTTCAAGAAGATAAATTAAATCATAGATTTAAAGTGAGCCCCACCCCAAACAAACAGAAGCCTGTCATTATAGCCATATTGCACAAAATAATATTGGCTTAGCCTCTTCCTTACAGCCCTCTGGTGAGGCTGTTACTTTGCCTTGCTTTTGTCATGGTACCTACAACAGGTCAGGATTTTTTTTCCATCCTGTGAGAAATTTTGAAATTAAACCCGAAACTTATTTCATTGAGTCTGCACAAATGTCAGTGTTGAAAACTTTGTGACACCTACAATGTGAAAAAAATGTTCCAATTCAGTTAAAATATTTTCAGAACAAGACTTCTAGCAGAGGTTGTTTTCCTGTAAAAATACCTTTTAGTGTAGAATTAAATTTCTAAATAAAATCCCATTTCTGAGCTGATTTTTTAAAAAGTTGAATATGGTTGTTTTAGCAATTTCACCCCCAATTCCACCTATTTTCTTTTTCTTTCTTTCTTTTTGAGCTAGAGCATTTGCCACCCCACACTTTTGCTATAAAAAGTTTAGTTTGACTACTTCTAATACCATCTGGAAAAATATATATGAAGTTGCCTAAATGATACTTTATCTTCTACTACCTCATGGAGAGCTATCATTTTAAAGAGTGAACATCCACAAAAATCAATACTTAGAAGAGTAGAGACTTGCTTATGCCTGCAGATTTACAGCACTTCTAATAATAGCCTTCTGATGTTTGCACCGCAGGAACTTGCCTATCGTTTTCGAACTAATGTCACCATGTTGTATCATGTATTTACTTCACCGTTTTAATTTCAGGTAGCAGAGAAGCAGCATTCACATATGCCATCATTGCTGCTGGAGTAGCGCACGCCATCACGGCTGCCTGTACACAGGGCAACCTGAGCGACTGCGGTTGTGACAAAGAAAAACAAGGACAGTACCATAAAGAGGAAGGATGGAAATGGGGAGGCTGCTCTGCCGACATCAGATACGGAATAGGATTCGCCAAAGTGTTTGTGGACGCCCGGGAGATTAAGCAAAATGCAAGGACGCTCATGAACCTGCACAACAACGAGGCCGGGCGGAAGGTAAGAACTGCTGCTCTCCCCCAGGCGCGGCATCTCTGGCCTGGGCTGGAGGTGGGGTTAGATCATGCACAGCGCGCAAGGACTGCAGTCCGCTTTGACGCTAACCTCATTTTACAGTAGGCAGGGAGGCACCTTTGCCAGTTACACAAGCTTGTTGGACCATCTGTCCGTCAAGTATTTGTCTAAATGTTACTCTTTGCCGTGGTAAAAAGAAAAAAGCAAACAAACATTTTATCTGGAAAGTCAAATGGTACTTATGATAAAAAGCTTGCCTGCTACTGTGTGGGTGAATGGGATTCTCGTCAGGTTCAGACACGAACTTCTCACTCATTTGAAAAGGGATCATTTTCAACCCAACTGTTTAAACCTTGCTCTTTGTGTGAGAACTACCTCTACAAGGAGAAAAATACTTTAGCAAAAAGAACACAGACTGACTCACTGTTACACCATTATATGGACTTGGTTTATCATTTTGCACAGCACATTCCCGCCCCCTCCCCACTCTTTGGGACCGGGTAGCTGAAAGCGGCTACCGCAGAACCAGCGCTCGGGGAGACAGGAATTCAGCAGCTTCTGACGCGCAGGTTTCCTGGGGATCCGGGGCACCGACTGCCCCGGACTTGCTGCCTGTATCGGAAATAGTGTGGCCAGCAGGAGTAGGGCGGTGATCGTGCCCCTGTGCTTGGCCCTGGTGAGGCCGCACCTCGAATCCTGTGTTCAGTTTTGGGCCCCTCACTACAAGAAGGACATTGAGGTGCCGGAGCGTGTCCAGAGAAGGGCAATGAAGCTGGTGAAGGGTCTGGAGCACAAGTCTGATGAGGAGCTGCTGAGGGAAGTGGGGCTGTTTAGCCTGGAGAAGGGGAGGCTGAGGGGAGACCTCACCGTGCTCTACAGCTACCTGGAAGGAGGTTGTAGCGAGGTGGGGGTTGGTCTCTTCTCCCAAGTAACAAGCGATAGGATGAGACAAATGGCCTCAAGTTGCGCCAAGGGAGGTTTAGACTGGACAGTAGGAAAAATTTCTTCACTGAAAGAGTGGTCAGAGGGAAGTGGTAGAGTCACCCTCCCTGGAAGTATTTAAAAGACGTGTAGATGAAGCGCTTAGGGACATGGTTTAGTGGGCATGGGGATGTTGGGTTAACGGTTGGACTTGATGATCTTAGAGGTCTTTTCCAACCTTAATGATTCTATGATTCTATGATTCTATGATTCTTGTCCGTTTGCTGCACTCGGCCGGTTTTCTGGTTGTCAATGGCAGCCGTTGCAGATGCAAGACCCAGCCTGATCTCTGCTCCTCAGATCCTTGGTCGGGTGCTCCCCAGCGTGCCTCAGAGCGGCCTCCATGGTGGAGGGGCTCTGCTTTACCCCAGCTGGGAATACCCAGGGGATGTCTGTGTGCTCCTCATACGGCTGTGCGCCGGTACAGCCCAGTGCTGCTTTCCAAACGGGAGTTCCGTTTTGCTGATCACATCTTACAGAACGAATGTAAATCCTCTTGCTTTCTTAGCTCTCGATTTTACCTTCTTCACTGTTTGCACTCCTGTGCATTAGTACTGATTTTAGCATTATGTTAGTGAGACTTAGAGGCAAATGGGAGAAGGAAGTTAGGAACAGCAGTTAATTTGTGGATACTATTTTTGTTGTGGTAATTACCTGTAGGCTCTGAGACATCTTCACTTACGCTGGAGCCAAGCAGATGGCATTGAAGAAAGGCCATTTCCCCCCCAAACAAAAGCCTAACTTTTCTTTTATTTAATGCTACTGTAGTAGTTTTACAGGTCAGATTATGGTTTTTACTCTGCCTACTATCCCAAATGCCCGTGTCTGGCTCTCTAGTGCAAACATGGTACTTCAAAACACTAGCAAAATTAACACTGACTTCTGAGAATAACTCGAGGACTAACCATGAATATTTGCTAATCAAATGATCTGAGATTCAGTATCTTTAGTACTTGGCTTCTGGCAGCACGAAGGCACATACTGAAGAGCCTGGTAAAACACCAAGGCCCACATTTGTGCTGTACAAGCACAAATCCACTGAATAAAACATAGCAGAGGAGTTTCACCTTTGTGGGAAAGCTACTTCCCTGAAAGGTCCGCTTTTATTCGATAGGTGCTGGCAGTAAAAGATTCCCAAGAAACAACACACCAACCTATAGCGGACTGCAAACATAGATGGAACTGGCTACTGTCTTAGAATATTGTTTCAATTACAAAGCTCGAAGATATAAACAAAAAAAAAAAGTTGCATTTCTTGGGTCTGTTATCACCCAGGTATGGACCTAGGGTAGAGGAGGAGGGATACGAGTCCTGGAGCTGGCCTGTGGGAAGGCAGAGCATCCAGCAGCCTCCCCTCGACGACATGAGCTCCTTGTGTTTCTCACCTTTATGTGCACAATTTGCTGTCCCAAAAGATTATGCCTGGAAGATTCAGCTCTACGCATTGTTATCTGGGAGAACAGTGGTGTGTCCTATCTCTGGCGATCTGCCATTTCTCCAGCAGGCTCAGGAACTGTTCTGATCTAGAGATATTTCTACGCTTCTTCCTGCATCCCTTACAAAATTACTGATCTTTGTTCGAACAAATCTCTGTTTGAAATCTTCAGGGGAAAGAAAGAGTAACACGACTGAGAAGAGGCATGTTACTCCACCATCCTGTAGAGAATGAATAAATGATGTTTTTGCTAAAGAGATTCCTTTCAGGCTTTGCTCCTATGTGAAAAATCACAGTATTTAAAGACAATTGGCAGAGGGAGGCCATTAAGGGTATTTGGCAAGCTAGGTCTCTCACAACCTAACCCTTTCACAACAAAAACTGTCTTGTTTTGAGCTGGTACTCTGCCTTTTGGAGCAACATGGATCTTATCAGCCTCCACACAATCTATTCTCGGTGGCTTTCCTCTGGGCTACAAATTCTTGTCTAGTTTTACTCACCCATGGCTAGGTTTTTGATGATATTTATGCACCTAGGAGACAGACTGGCACCTACTGGGCTTCCAAAAATAAACAAAGATGTTCAATTCTTATTGATTTGTTATCTTCACCTGTAGGCACCGCTACACTGTTCAAAAGTCAGTCCCCTCTACTTCTCTGGTCTTGCAATGCGAAAGTGCCCCACTGCCCCAGCACTCACAAATGACCTGTGAAAAGGTCCTTCTTTAGGATGACACCAGCTGCAGGTGATTCAGGATGCATGCTAGTAAATCATACATATATTATTATACAGTTGTCTTCTTAAGAATCACTAGTAAATTAATCTGTTCCATCTTAGCGAGCAAGAGATGACAGACTGCACACTGCTGGGCTTACCAGGGAAACTGAGCATAAGTAGGACTGCATGGTATAAACCAACAGATGACCACCAGGAAAAGCCTGATCCAGACTTGTTGGAGATCTCATTTCAAGACTTTCCACCTTCTCATAGTCTTGTTTTACCTAGGCAGGTCTCTCTGCTGCCTGCAGTGCCAACAGCAGTCTCTCCGAACCTACTGAATACATGACTCTGTCAGAGCAATAGTACGAGCATCTGTCAGCTCTTTCTAGAAGCAAATAAAAATCGACTGTGTCAAATGTGGAGGATTTTAGAGGTCATAGGTGGAAAACATCCATGCTGCTATTCCCTTTCCTCAATAGCCTTGCTAGTGCAATGCTTGAAAAATACTCCTGTGCACAACCATGATGCAGCACATCCCACCTGAGATCAGCGTGTGTGAAATGTCTCCATTTCCAGCTGCTCCCATGCTGCAAACCACTGCCAGCGATGCCAACGGCTCCTGCGGAACGAGCACCCGTGATGCCTCCACTGCTGGGGCGGGGCGAGGAACAGTTTTCCTTACTGTTAAAGGACAGGGCTCTAACTCTCCGTTTCTCTCTCTGTCTTGGTGACAAAGCACCAGGACTCAGTTCTGTAGCACATAGACACAACTTCAAAGTTCCCAGGCTACTTGGAGGGGAAGGGGCAGAGTTCAAAACAGGGGTCGCATACACCCTACAAAACTGGCCCCAAGCAGCCCGAGAAGCCTCACATCATTTGTCAAATCTATTGGAGAGCAGCTATTTCTGACCTCCAGAAACAGAGTTTAGGGTGTCTTTCCTCTTTGAATTAGTATTTCCTGAAATGCTGATTCACTGCAGGAAGAAGCAAGCAGTACAGGGAGAACAGGAGGAGAATTCATAACAGCTGGGTCAGAAAAGAGAGATAAAGCTTGAATTAATTTAAAGGCATAATCCCGATTTGCCCTGCAAACTTCCATGTGAGGGGTTATAATTGCAAGTCTGAATTGTCTGTTAGCAAATCTGTCTTCTCAAGTACAAAGTTAATTTAATTACTATAAGTAACACAATAATGTATGTCTGAGAGATACTTATGCTCCAGGAAATAAAAATGTTATTCTCCAAGTTATCCTGCTAAAAAATAACAAAGTAGGTACTGAAAGGTTCTACATATTTTGGCTGTAAACTTCATTTTGACAGCATGGCAAGGTACATGACCAGATTGCTCTCTCCTCTCTTTTTCTCTGTGACATTGAAATTCCACGAATGGCATCTTGCATCAGCGTTACATCATATTAAGTATAATGCAATATTATGAGTCATTGTTATAAATCATGGGCACAGGCTGCATTAGAAGGCTTTTGCAATTCAAGAGCACATCAAGGTGGATTTTTATTCAGTGTTTCTCTTTGGAGGCATACCTAGGTGCACTAACTTTGCAATGCATCTTCATCCTCTGAATCAGTAGCGTTTGAGTTTTCCTTTTCAGCTCTAAGGCTCATAGAAGTAGCACAGTACGTGCCTAGCAGAGTTGCTGCAAATATCAAGCAAAGCTATGAGAAACCAGAAGGTGTTTCTGAAGTGGATCACGCAATGATCATAATAGACTGAAGTGTTTAGTGTTTTATCCTTTAGGGAAAACTGTAATAACATTGAAGTGAAACACCAGCATTTGGAAAGCATGCAGTTCAGGAGTTCTCCCAAGCTATACTGTAAAGCCTATACGTATG